TTACCCATGATCCAGACACTGCAGTCCCCTCCGTTTAACAAACGGGGAAACAGATAGTCCAGGGAGGGTAAGTGACCTGCCTGTGTCGGTTGTCTATGTTGAAGCAACTGCCACAAACATAGCAGGTTAAAGTAGCACCCATTTAGGGGTTACTCAGGGCGGACTCTCTGAGGCAAAGGGTCCTATTCCAGGCTCACAGAGTTGTTGGCAAAACTCACATCCTTGTAGCTGTGGAATTCATGGAAGCCTGCTTCTTCAAGGCCAACAGAGCAGCTCTCTTACCAAGAAGGTTCTAGATCTTCTTATTAGTGCTTTCAACTGATTAAGCTTGGCCCACCCAGGGTAATCTCCCTTTTTACTAACTCAACTCATCTGGGACCTCAAGTTACATTTGTAAAATCCCTTTATCTTTCCTAATGTAGCCCAGTCATAGGAGTGGCATCCCTCAGGTTTATGGGTCCTGCCCATATTCAAGGGGAAGGGATATACTGGAGTATACAACAGGGAGCAAAAATCTTGGGATTCTGACCATCCCACCCCCAAAACTACATAGCAAATTATTGCCAAGGGGGAATCTATTTGGCCTGTCGGCCTCCCGGTGCCGCATGAAGGAATGGCCCTAGATAGGGGTCGGTGCTTCTCTGGCTTCAGACAACTGGCAGGTTCATGAACAAAAGAGGCCCAATATTGTCTAAATCCACTTTGCATCCTGTCCCCAGTTCTCAGAAATGATATTACACCAAGTCCTACTCAGAGTCTGCTCTCTAGATAAATTAAGCTCTGTGCAGAGTTGACCAGAAACAAGGCTATAGTAACCAGCCTTTCAGATGGCTTCTAATGAGTCTTGCCTCCTGAAGGTGCTCCTGCCCTGCCCTTCTGCAGTCTCCTTTTGCAATGAATACGACTGACCTGTGTGACCAATAGGATAGTGTGGAAGTCACAGTGGGTGACCCAAGGCTTGGCCGTAAAAGGCATTGTAAAAGGCTTCCCCCTGGTTCTCTTGGATCGCTTTCTGGGAAAAGCAAGCCTCTGTGTAATGAGGACATCAGCCCTTTGAGGGTCCACGTGGCAAGGAACTGAGACCTCCTGTCAACAGCCTGCATCGAGCTGCCAGACGTGTTAAGTGCGCCATCTTGGAAGTGGGTCCTCCAGCCCACTCGAGCTTCCAGATGCTCCAGCCCTGGTCAGCATTCTGACTACAGCTTCACAAAACAACTATCTAGCTCAGCTACTCCCAAATTCTTGACCTACAGACCCTATGTGAGACAGTGGTCAGAAGCCCCAAAAGGTGGGGATAATTTTACACAAAGATAACACAGAGATGGAGCTAATGCCTTACCCAAAAGATGGTGCTGATGAGAATAAAGTGCCTTTTATTGAGCACTTACTGTACACCAGGCTCTGACCTACCTCCCTGTAGGCTGCTGGAGCACAAGGTAACAGCTGTTAAAAACTGAAATCCAGGGGCGCCTGGGTGGCTTAGTCGGTTAAGCGTCCGACTTTCGCTTAGGTCATGATCTCGCGGTTCGTGGGTTCGAGCCCCGCGTCGGGCTCTGTGCTGACTGCCAGCTCAGAGCCTGGAGCCTGTTTCAGAGTCTGTGACTCCCTCTCTCTCTGACCCTCCCCTGCTCACGCTGTCTCTCTCTCTCTCTCCTAGAAATAAATAAAACATTAAAAAAAAAAATTAAAAAAAAAAAAAACTGAAATCCAAATCCAAAGGTCATAACCCCCAGTCTTCATTACCCAACACAAACCTAACAGGAATTACCGAGACACTGACCAATAGAGTAGTCAGCAGCTGCACGTGGCTACTGACCACTTGGGATGTAGCTAGCACAATTGAGGAACCGAATTTTTCGTTTTTACAAATAAATTTACATAGAAATAGCCACCTGTGACCAATAGCTACTATACTGGACAACCCAGGTTTAATAGATGGGAAGGTTCTTCTGCAAGAATCAGGTTTTAAAGAACAGGGAGACTCACTCAAGCTTAATGGAACTCAGGAAACAAGGTGTAGCAGGGGCCCCAGGAGGGACTTGGGGACCAGACTTGCTGCTTCGGAGGGGGTCAGTAGGTCACGAGCAGCCTCCAGAGCCCAAATGCCTGGGCTCTAGCCCCACCTCTGCTTTGGTAAGCCAGGTCACTTTGGGCAAGTTAGCTAACCTCTTAGCTGAAGTGTCCCCATCTGTATAATGGGGATACTAGCAGAACCGTATTTGTGGAGCCATCGTGGGTTCAGGTATGAAGCATAGACAGCATGGGCGCTGCTAGCACACGCACACGACACCAGGATTCGCTTCTACTGATCCCCTCCGTATGCTTCCCCCGACTCCAGCCGAGCACTGGGCCATGTGGCACCAAGGGAAGACCACCAAAGCCCAAGGCCTTGGAATTAAGGTTTAACTGCAGATGAGCTAAGGGCAGGTCCTCCCTTGGTAAAAGGGCTCTTACCCGGATTGAGAGGCATCAATGGGGTTTGTCCAGACCCATCGACCGCAACGCCTGCAGAGGCCATGCAGGTGACCTGAGTGAAACAGGTGGCTAAAGGCTGTGGCAAGGCAGGAAACCCACATCCAGATAGGATCCTGCCTGTGCACAACTTTCAGCTGTTGCCATATAGCCAGAGAGGAGCCAAACCTTGAGTTTTTCCCAGAAGCAGGAAATCTGGATTTATATGGAGAACATCCTCATTTCTATAGTTGGCATCTAATCCAAGGATTTTGTGGGTTGTTTTTTTTTTTTTTAAGTTTATTTTGAGAAAGAGATCAAGAGAGCAAGCAGGGGAGGGGCAGAGAGAGGGAAAATCCAAGCCCCAGTACAGGGCTCAAACCCACGAACCATGAGATCATGACTTGAGCCGAAACCAAGAGTCAGATGCTCAACGGACTGAGCCACCAGGAGCCCTCCCCGCCGCTCCTCCCCGAGGTCCCCTGTGGCAGATCTAACAGGCCCCTCTGGCTTCTCCATTATCACAGTGTAGCCCGAGGATGCTACAGCTTGTGTTGCAGGGTCCTGATGGCCAGCTCTATTGCCCCCCCCCCCCCCCCCCCCCCCCCCCCCCGCTGGCACCCTGTGTTTGTTTTTTAACCAGGTGTCATCTAAGCAACACACCAAGTTAGGCATGAGATGTCCCACAGGCCACCATGCGCACATTCTTTCCTTCTTCCTCTCCAGCCCTTTCTTGGCTTCTTCTCCGCCTCCAGTGTCTGGCACCCCAAAGGGCACGTGGAGATCAAAGGATACAGAGCCCAGAAAGGAGGACTTCTTACAAACTTTAAAATGACAGAGACAGGCAATTTAGAAAGTTCCAGGTTTTATTATCTTCTTATCAAAAAGGAAAAAAATCAGTAACAGACAACGGTGTGAGGTGCTCACTCCCAACACAGCCAGAGGGAAAGAGCCTGGTGGGAGGGGGGGAGCCCAGAGGACCCAGCCAGCCGGGGCCCCCAGGCCTGAGGTGGCAAAGGGTGCGGCAGTACGGGAGGCCAGGGCGACTCCCCCCCACCCCCGCCAGTGGGGTCAAGAGAAGATGCAGCCTGCCCAGGCTAACTAACCCACCAGGCCTCCTCTGTGGAGGAGGGATCACAGATAAGAAGCCAGGACCCAGTCAGCCCTCCCCCATCCCCCTTCGTCCAGGAGACAAAGATCAGCCCAGCAGGTGGGGGCTCTGACTTGTTACACAGGTTCAGGTCTCCAGCACTGTGGTTGGACAGGTGGACACGGCGTCTACCTGTGCACTCACTAGAGTAGCCATGGGCCACATGTGCCCAATGAGCACTTGAAATGTGGTTAGTGTGAGTGAGGAATGAATTTTTTAACTTTAGGTGACTTTAACTGATTTGAACAGCCACGTGTGGCTCGTGGTCGCCGTAAGGGATAGCATGGCTCGCCAATATTCTCTTATATTTGGAGAAAACAAACAAAGGAACACCACTTGGGCTCCAAGCAGAAGCTAGAACTGTCTACCCTCAACTATTCCAGCCCAGTCAGGAGAAGGTACCACGAACAGAGCAAGAGAGAGGCAAAAACCCACTCGGCCACACAAAAATCCACTCACTCAACCATCCAGCCAACTTCAAATGGGACATATCACACTATTTCCTGAAAAAATATATTTATCTATTTTTCTAGAACCATGAAGAATAATAATATATTACAAGAAAAGACACAAATATCCCACCATCCCCTACATTGTATTTTGGAATCTGCTAGAAAACTATGTTTCAGCAAAAGCTACTTCTTAAAGGAAGCAGCTTCAGAAAGGGCCAAGGTCATGAGCAGGGGAGTGTTAAGTATAAAAAAAAATGGGGAGGATATTTAAAAGAGGAAAGAAAGAGGCCCTCTCTGAAGCTATAAATAGTAAAAAAAAAAAAAAAATTAATAAAAATCATATCTCCGTCTCTTCTCTCATTTGTGAGAAACAAAAACAAAAAACCATTAAATACAAACTTAGCAGGTACTGTGGAAAGTGCAAGAGAGTGGAGACCGTCTTTATCGGCACACTCTTGCCCAGGCAGAGGCTCTGCACCAAGGAATGAACCATTAGGAAAAAATACCCCGCTAAAAGTAGATTTACAAATACTTTGCAAACCCATTTCAGTATGAACTTTCGGCTCTTCTCCCCACCCCCTCCCCCAATAAAAAAGGCTGATTTCCAAAAGTCACTTGAAAGAGCCGAGAATGGCCCAAGGTATACCACAGACGCCTGTAGTGTGGTCACAAGTGCCCTTTGACGGACACATCAAGGTGCAGGTGGTTCCAGATCCTTCTCCCAACTCCTTTTCACAGGAGGGAGGGAGAAGGCCACTGAAGGCTTCAGAGGGGCTCTGGATGAGGCATGCTCAGTACAGGCTCTAAGCTGGGCCCACATTCTAAAAGCAGAAGATTAAGAAACGATCCAATCCCAGACCTGCCTGCAGCAAGGCTGCTAGCTGTAACCCCATTTTTCTGCCGGGACAGTCGAGGCCCAGAGAATCAAGAAGAGGCAGGCAGGAACAGAAGGTGGTGCCTCTTCTAAGGCTTAAAACATAATCACAGCGGGAGATGCTGACAGGTCGGTATTAGGTTGCCTTCCCCCTCCCCTCATGTCCACCCTTCAGCATCCTTCGCGGCTTCCCTCCCCACTGAGGTCCAAGCCAGTGTGCCCAGGGGGACACTTCAAGCATAGAACTCGTTGGTGGGGGCTTTTTTGTAGATAGGTTTCTTGCCCAGGTCGTAGGTGCCTTCGTCCTTCTTCTTCATGCGGTACACCAGCAGCAGGACCAGGAAAATGGCGAAGAGGATGCCCACGCCGCCGCCCACGATCAAAGCTGCGGAGGAAGAGACGGGAGAGCTGCGGGTCAGGACCTCGGGGACACGGCCACCTCCCGCGAGCCGGCTCTCTTACAACTACACGTCTTCACCCCTGCTGTCGCCTGTCCCAGGCGTGACCTCATGAATGAGAGAGGGGGGTCACCGGAGGACACCGAAGACCACGGCGCCTGAGTGGCAAAGCCACCATCCCGACCCACGTCTGCTGGGGCCCCCAGCCAGGCACTTTCCAAACACCAGGCTGATGCCCCAGAACAGCTTAGCTCAAACTGGGCCAGGAGCAAGCAAATCTGCAGGCCGGAAAACCCGCCTAGATGCACTTAGAGCGCGGGCCTCAGTGCCGCACACGGTCCAGCTGGCTCCGTGTGCACACCTCCTCTGTGCACACAGGTGTGTGCTACCACCCACAGCTCTAACGCAGAGGCACGGCCAGGCTGCTACGTCCCTGACACTTACACACAGCGGTTTACGTTCCTGTGTTTCCGGCTTGGTGGTTAAGGCCTAGGACCCACTCCCGTTACTCATCACGGGCTGTGCGATCAGGAGAGTCCCTTCATCTCTCTCACGGCAGAGCCGAAATAAAACTACCTTTCTCACACATCTGTCCTAGGATTAAGTACATTAATCCACCTGAAGTGCTGGGAGCAATGCACAGCATATGCTCGCTCTGTCCTCATGAATTGTAAACCTCTGTGGGTTTATGATCCGTGTCCCTAGCACCCTGAGTTGGCCCGGGCACAACGGTGAGTGCTTAATAAACGATACTCACAGTTCAGCTCAGAGGAGCCCTGCCTAAGGGCACCTGCTAACGTCAGGCTGGGGTGCGCTGCTGACCTCAGGCCTGCAGGGCCACCATGCCGGGCTGCCTGCAGGGCTCGCTCCTGTTTGCGGAGGGGGCAGGGATACCTCTCAGAGTCCTTGCTGAGGTGGACTGAGTCCTCTAATTTCGTCTCACTAGGGCTAAGAAGATTAACTTCCCGTCCCCGCACACACTCCAGATCGATGCACAGAATGGGGGCAGGGTGGCCCACGGGAGCCCAGTAAGGTTCTTTCTTAGCTAAAACTCTTAGGAAACAACAGCAGCAAAGTGCCCCCGGGAAAGACCAGAAAAGGCACATGGAAGAAGGTAGCAAGCCCGTTCCTGTTTTTATCACCTTTCCCTCTAATGACCCCCAGCTCCTCTACTACGACTTTGGTCTGTGCTGGGGCCTGGACCCCACAGGGTCAAGTCTCCAAAGTGACTGCTCCTAAGTTCGAATACCAACAGCTGTTTTGTGACTTTGGGCAAGTGATTTGGCTTCTCCGGGCCTCAGTTTCCTTACTTGTAAGAGTGCAGATGGCCGTGTGTGTCTGAGGGGCCCACGGAGCAGGCGTCACCCGGCAAGCACTTGAGAAACTCCCAGGTGCCGTTCAGATGCAACTAACACAACCGAGTAACTTCTCACGTGAAGATCTTATGCTTGGATAATTCTCAACCGCCAGGTTTCAGAGACGACCTGGCTTTTTGGTTCTGTCTCTTGCTATGTGACCCAAGTAAGTGGTCTGTTTTCTCTGGGCCTCAGTCTCCCCATGTGTGGAAGACACACTTGCTTGGACTAGATCGGTGGTTTTTAAACTTTTCTTTAAAAGCAGCAGAACCCTTTGTTGGTGAGAGCAAAACTGTGTGCTAACCCCACATATGTCAGCTAAAAGTGAAACTCTGTGGTTGAAGAGAAATGGGAGGAGGTTTTACAGAAGATTTTGAAGCCTAGAAGGTTACAAGGTCTCTGGGGGCCCCTCTAGTCCTGATGGCACCGCCACCCCTCTCACTCGGCACAAAAAGTAGCGAAGGAAAAGTAGAAAGAATATGGACTCGGGTCCGAGGAGGCTAGAGTCAGGGCTGAGCTGGGCCCAAAGTCACCTGGGGTGACATTCCCAGAGAGCCTTATCTGCAAACTGTAGGCAAGACTCTTTATCTGTCCTGGATGGAGGCAGGACACCGGGCTCCTTCCCTGGAACTCAGGTCCCCTCGGGAGGTATTGGCCCAGCTGGCCTGTGGCTGCTTAGAGACAAGAGTAACCCAGACGGGCCCCAGGGTGTCCACTCAACAGGCTGGTTCACGAAGACCTGTCGTCGGCGTATAACGCTTAATTTCCCGTCCCCGCACACATTCCGGATCGATGCACAGAATGGGGGCAGGGTGGCCCACGGGAGCCCAGAATGGTTCTTTCTTAGCTAAAACTCTTAGGAAACAACAACAGCAAAGTGCCCTCGGGAAAGACCAGAAAAGGCACATGGAAGAAGGTAGCAAGCCCATTACTGTTTTCATCACCTTTCCCTCTGACGACCCCCAGCTCCTCTTGGCCAGAGTCCCTCTGACAACCCAACCCCCAGCTTTGGGGACCCCAAAGCTGCCAGGGAAGGAGCACGCAAGCAGTCACCACCCCAGCTGATGGCCCCACACCCAGGCTTGAAAGAGCCATTCCTGAAGCCCCAGCCTGGGATGCAGCCGCCACCACAAGAGCACAGCACAAACACGAGCCCCGCGGCTCTCATGTCAGGCCGGACACCGCGCCTCTCTAGGCCTCAGTTTCTTAATCTGTCATGCGAAGCTTCCCTGTGTGCCACCCTGTGGCCCTGCATGCCATCAGAAAGGCCCTTTACAGCTTGCCGAATTATTTTCAGATTCTAATTTTCAGAGTTATTACACCAACCCAAGGAGGTAGCACTGTACCCATTTACAGAGGAGGAAATGGGAGGCTCACATCCTCAATTGAGGTTGGAAAGCTTCTCAGCCAAGATCACAAGGCTGTCAAGTGACAGCGCAGGAGGAAGGGAAGAGAAACCAGCCCAATCCATAGGCGTCTCTGCGCTTTCGAGGGAAGTTAACCTCCCTAGGTACCAACCCCAGGCTATGAAAAACAAGACAGGACTTAAGACAAGGGACTGACTCCTAGCTGTTCTTTAAAAGACTCTGACAGGCAGTTCTTCCTCACCTTCTACCCGGCGCTCACCCGGCCAGAGCCGCCCCTTAGGAAGGTATAGTCTTGAGGCTTCGGGGACCCCTGTGGCTAGAAGGAAGGGGTACCAAGAAGCCCAAGGTGCCAGCATTGCCTGGCTGTCCTCCCCTCTTCAAAGTATCTCGTGAGGCCCTTACCGGCCAGGACCTCTGTCCTCTCAAAGATGCTGTTGCTCTGTGCAGCGCTGGACATGGACACCTTGTTAGACACATCCTCGTCCCCTTCGAAGGGTGCGATCCTCTTGGGGATGACCTCATTCTCCTCTATCTCCTGGGGTTCGGTGGGGTCCCAGCGCTCAGGCCTTGCCTTCACAGGGATATGGTTATCCAGAGGCACCTGGATGGGGCAGAAGGAGGAGAGATCAATACTCAGCTTTGGAGGAGGGACCCAGAGCAGGGACAGGAGCATCCGGCCAGGGAGGGGGTCTGCCTCCGCCACCTCACTGGCTGAACCGTGTGGTCCTGGAGCTGAATTCAACACCAGCCTTGCAACAATCAGGCCATCAAATGCTTCCCCTCAACCTGTCTGGTGGATCTGTCTCACGTGAGGAAGGAATAATGTGACCGAGGGTACAGAGAAGCAGGCGTTACCACTCACTGTGGGTGTTCTAGAACCATCGCCCTGGAGGGCAGTGTGGCAGAACTGCAGAAAGTGCTTGCCCTTGAAGGCAGCAACTCTGCCTCTGGGACTCTATCCCAAGATGCTAATCAGAGATTTGAATGAAAGATGCCCGCTGCGGTGTTATAATTTCAGAGTATCAAAAAATCATAAACAACTTTTCCGTCAATAAGGGGAAAATAATGATGATTATGAGGCCTATAAAATGAAAAAGAACACTTCATTATGTGAGGAAATAACTTTCATGTCCACTTTAAGTGAAAACTGCAGCCCACGAGACTGTATATATAATTTGATATTAATGCTGAGAAATACCTAGAAATGCACAGAAAAGGGGCTGGAAACACAATCTAAGTGTTGAGAGTGATTATCCTTGCAGGAAGGATGGCCATGACCCACAGCTGTATCTGACCCTCAGGAGTCAGGGCCACAAATATAAGCTTACTTGCAGAGTGAGGTCAGAACCTCATTTAGGGGCCCCTCTCAACAGGTGTCACAGAGGAGCAGGTGGGGAAGAGGCAGAAGCCCGTTAGCTACTCACCAAGGGTTGAATTACTTCGGGGAAGATCTGGGGGTCCTCCGAATCATCTGTAAAGTCAGAAAAGCTGTGTGAATATGAGGCCATTTATCCTTAAAGTACCCCCCCTTCTTCAGCCATGGCTGGTGGGAGTCCTATCTTATAAGCAGCCCTCAAATGCTCAGTGTACAGTAAGTGACCATTCCCACCCCAGCCTCAGTCACCACATCTGTAAAATGGGGCTCCCAAGACCTTACTCCCTGGTTCTTTCACAAGAATGCTAGGCAGGGAGCTGAGCAGAGATGCTTTGTCAGCTCCAAACCCTTGCTCTGGAATGTTCAGATCAGGGACCTAGAGCCGGTTAGAAATGCAGAATTTCAGGCCTCACTGAATCAGTCTGCGTTTGAACAAGATCCCCAAGGGATTCCTCGGAGAAGACTCTAGATTGGAATATTAAATATTAGAAATCGTAACATTAAACTATTTACTGAGTGCTTAGTAGGTGCCAGGAGAGCTTTAAGTGGAGTCACAGAAGACCATGAACCCCCCTGGCCCTTGGTCCGGCCCCCCTGGGGACCTTCACACCCTCTCAGCCCCCTCTGAAGCAGGGGCTCTTTCTTGGCTCTCCACCCATACTTCTGCCCACACATGCTCCCGGGATCGGGCTCCGGAGCGGCCCTTCTCCTTTTCAAAAAGAGAAAACACTATCAGTTCTTTCCAGCCTCACCCCCACCGGGCCCCCAGCCACAGGCAAGACAGGCCCAGGCTGGTGCTCAGAAAACCTACAGCTACAAAATGAACTGAAAGCAACAAATAACCGCCCAAGGGGGGGTTGCCATGGGATGGAAAAGGCTTGATAGTTACTTTTGTTTCCCCTCTAGTGAGAGGGGAGGAGCCCTGATGGAAACTTCCCCCACAAATCCAAGTCTCAAGGCAAGCTCACCCCTCTATGGTCTGCGAGGCCACTTTCCCTCCAGCCCCATGACCCTAAGCCTGCCCGCCACACCCTCCATACCCAGATCTCCAGAGCCAGACAGCTCAAAGTCATCAGGCTCCTGCCCGGGCCCCCCGACGTCCTCGTCGTCCGGGAGAGCTCCAGAAAAGTAGCGGCCTTCTAGGAGGTCTTGGGGATCGATGACTTCTGTCTCTCGGATCTAGGGTGAAGAAAGGAGTTACATCAGCCGCTTCTGCAGACATATCCGTAGCCCCCTGGTGCCGGACGACAGACAGCCCCCGAGCCCTGAGAGGCAGTCAAGTGGGCATTCAGTAAGGTAACCTGGGGTGCTGGAAAGTAATCGGGCACCCCTCCTGGACCCCTAACTTGCTGTGTGACCCTAGGCAAATCTCTTTCCCATCCTGGGTCAATAAAAATCATAAAGTTGGTAACGATCAGAACATTAAGCATTACTAGGTACTATTTACTGCAAGCAATTACTATTGCTTGTTCTTATTAACTCCAGAGGTATGTCTTTAACCTCATTTTACAACCAAGGAAACTGGGCATTTCCCTCTGATACAAGTAGCAGGTGGGAAAAGGAGGCTTCAGCGTCAGGCTGCCTGACTGCGGGAGCCACACGGGCTGGAGGGGAGGACAAGGTTCTAGGGTGCAGACCCAGTCACCACTGACTCACCTATGGCAGGGAGAGGGCTGCTGGCCCTGGTCTTTCCCAGTCCAGGACACCTTTCCCAGCTGAGTCAGACTGGGCTGGGGCACAGAGGGCTGGCTCACCCTCCTCAGGGAGGCCTCAGGCCTGGCACCGTGCAGCCCCAGTGACTCACAAATACATGAGCACATTCTCGTACCCAGCTTTATACGCATCTCCCACAGGCTCTGTTCTGTACCAGCACAGGGTGAGGACCATCCACTCCATCACCCACAAATGTCCTCAGCCCCTACCCCGTGGGGACACAGCCTGTCACATCACAGCAGAATCTTATGCCTGCTCCCACTGAGAAGCTTTCCGAAGCAAAGTATCAAGGTCCAGGAAGGTAAGAGACTTTCCCAAGGTCCTGCAGTTGCCTCAGCTACTCGGTTCCCATCCCCCAGAGCTCATGAGGGTAGGGAGCGTTCAGAATGCTTACCACCGTTCCCCTTCCTCTGGGGGGAAGGCTTCCCCCAAACGCCAGTCCTGGGCAGAGTTCATTTTTTTCGTGAATTAACTCAAATATCAAAGTGTCTACTTTTGCCAAAAGAGATAGGGTTTCGATGAAGTTCCATACACACCCCTCCTCAAGACATTCTCCTCCTCTTTCCCAAAGCTCCTGCCTGCAGGGGACCGGGGCTCTGCTCAGAACCAGAGACCACCAGCTACCTGCAGCCAGGGAGGTCCTGTCCCTTCCATCTCAGAGAATCCGAGAGAATTCGAACCCCGAACAGGGCAGTGACTTGCCCAAGGTCACGTTCTGAGTTAGCTGCACAGCTCAGAAGGGAGAGAGGCCAGGTCACGTCTCTCTTTGACTGCCCCAAGCTGTCCTCAACCAGAGGGAGACTGCCAGTGACACCAGGGAACCCGAGAAGGACTTGTCTGTTCTGGACAAGGTAACCAATGCAGGCGAGGCCCAGGCTCCCCCTGGACTTCCTCCGCTGGCTTCCGGGGGGAGGGGGGCAGAACCCGACTGTCTGTCATGCCCTCTTCCACCCCCCGAGGGGACATGTGCTGGATTTCCAGAAGGGAGCAGGGTCAGACCAGGGGAAAGGCAGCAGGCACGCGGCCCTCTTCCACCGGATGGGAGAATCTTCCCCCAATACTTGGCACGCAGGGGGTGGGGAGACAGAAGGGGTTAAGCCCCGGCTGGGGATGACTTCATGACTCGGGAATCAGGAGCTGCTGAGCTACTAGTGCTGGAATTCCAGCCCCCGCACACAGCCCCACAGCCCCGTGCCTGTGGCTTTAGTTTGGCAGCTGGGAGGGCTCCGGGTGGTTGCGAAACTGTCCCTAGGGCGAGGTCCCTGCCGCAAAGCAAATTCCCCCAGGCCCAGATTCTGAGAGAGCAGGACCTCCTAAGCACTTAGCATGAAGCAGGTCCTCCTGATAGATCTATTTTGCCCAAGGTCACATTGGCTGAAAGTGGCCACACTGGACCAGAACCCAGGCATGGGTTACCTGACCTTTTAGCCACACACAAAAGAACACACGCATGAACACGTGCGTGCATAGAGTGCCCGACCACCCAAGCCAGGAGGGAGCCCTGGTGAGCGGAGGTCAAATCCAGCCCAGGAGAGGAAGAAGGGACTTTGGCCACCTGTCGACCACGCTTGGAGACCAGACTGGCTGTGGGAGTCTGAGCTCCAAAGTCCTCAAGACAGGGGCTGGGGTCCCAACACTGGGTGGTTTCAGGCGGAGACTTTCCCCACCCCTCGTCCCCAAGAGCCATGGAATGTTGTTTACACAACCTGCCTTTCTTTGGGTCTGTGAAAGTGCTAAGGGGTGTTTCAAAACAGCTCCTGGGATTAGCATGCTGATTGGCTCAGAGTTACTACTTCGGTTTTACAGTAGCTAAAGGAAGGCTAAGCGAGGAGGCAGGTGTGGTGAGGAGGCAGACCCGTCAGCACTGAAACCACTGAAAGCCAGATTCGTTCTCAGTTCAGGCCTCTTAGGGATCGCCTGGAGACCCCTCACCCTTCCTTTCTGCACCAGGTTCCTGGAGAGGATGCACAATTGTCTAAGGGTGCACCAGGGGCCAGCGGCACCGGCGGCATTAGACCCTGTCGGTTACCTATTCCGGGGCTCTCAAGGCTGCGTTAGAGGAGCCAACGTTTCTTTCTCCAGCAAGTCACAAGTCACGGGGCGTGGGGGGGGGGGGGCGGTGGCTCAGGAGAGGACACAGGAAAGTGAATTCTCTAACTCCGGAAGCATCCTCTCTGCCCCTGCCTCTTGACAAGAGGAAATTCCCCAGCGGGAACCCTTTAACGTGAGGCCAGCAAGAGAGGCCCAAACTCCATGGGACTGTGGGCAAGCATCCCCTTGTGTGCATGGGGGCAGGGGGTGGGGAGAAGGGAATGCCAACAGCCCTCCCTTGCCTCACCCACTTTGCAGACAAGGCCCATTCAGTCTGGGTGGCTTTGAAGAAGCCACCAGGCCACCCAGTAGCCAAACCCAGCCCTGATGAGAGAGGGACCCCACCCTGCTCCCAGCCAAGCTTACCCCACCTGTTCCCCACTCACCCCATCCCTGCCCGGGGAACATGTGTTCACGTGTGTGCACACGCACAGGCACCCTCTGTGGGCCCACAGGCCTCCCTTCTCACAGAGCGCAACAGACCCCACCAGCTGAATAAGGCAGTGGGCCTGAGTCCCACAGACCCTGTCTACCCCGGGGCTGGTGGACATCTGGGGTCAGTGCCTGGGGCCAGAGATGCTGGACGCCTCCCCAGATTATCCCCAGAGGAGGCGGTTAGGTGCTGTTTTGTTCTAAAGGAACCACCACCTGCCAATAGAAGGTATCTGAGGCCACTGTGCCCGACGGTCTCATTTTATAACCCAGCAAACAGATGAAAAGACAAGGGGCTTTGCCAAGGTCACCCAAGCAGTTGGCGGCAGAGCTAGACTTAGAACCTAGGTCTTCTGGCTCCAGGGTGGAGTCGCCCTCCGTCCCTGCTTCAAGGGTTTGGGCTGCAAACAAAGGGTCTCGGCAAAACCACAGCTGATACTACAGCCATATTCCACATCCAGTCCTTATGCCTAGAAGCATGGGAAGAGGCTACGAAAAAGTCACCAACCCCACCCCAAAGTCCTACAGCTTCAGTCACCAGGGAAAAGCACAGGGCCTGGGGTGACTAGCTCACGTATCCGCGACGGGCCAGGCACCACGCCGCGCTCTTCCTCTCTTGATGAATTCATTTTACTGGCACAAGAGTCTTGTAACACGCTCTCTGCCCCATCCTGCAGGAAACTGAGGTGCGGGGGAGTCATTTATCCAAAGTCACACAACTAGAAAGCAACAGACCTGAGATCTGAACCTAGATCTTTCTCAAGACCAATGCTTAGCTACAACCAGACTTCTCACTCACTGCCACCCACGAGCCACCTCTCCACCTCAACCCCACAGTGCCAGGCCAGGCTCCACCAAAGAGCAAACAAAGGTGAAAGTGATATTGCTTCAACAAAAGAACAAAAACTTGCCGAGGGCACCAGGGAGTTCAGGGTCAAGGCCTGGTTAACCAAGAGCTGGTGGGAGGAAAAGAGGGAGGAGAGCCTCCCTCCCTCCCCCCACACCCACCCCTGCCCCCAGGCCCCTCCCCAACAGAGGTAGGGTCAGGGACACTTTTGAGGGAGGTGAGCGGGAAGGACATCTGGGCAAGCCAAATTCAACAGGTGGGTGGCAAGGACACTGGACTTCCCACTTTACTAAAGCCACCGGTTATCCTAACAGGAGATCTACTGCGCTCCCCCCCCCCCCCCCCCCCCCCCCCCTGCTTTTTGAAGGGCCAGACACTTCCCAGGATGAGCCACAATCAGAGCTCTACACCTCACCAGAAACCCAGGATCCCTACCAGCAAAGCACAGTCTGGCCTCGGCCACTTCCTAACTCCAGGAGCCTTGGGGTATACTGAACCCTGAACCCTCAGTTTTCTCTTCTGGTAACCAGGGCTAGGAGCACCCCACAGGATGAGGAGGATTAAGTGAAATGCATCAGTGTGTGCAAGGGACCCAGCATATGGCCTGGTACACAGCAGGTGCTCACTGAGTAGTAGCTATTATTAATCCCCACCTGCCTTCCTTCTAGCTAAAGGGATTAGTGCTCAAAGGGTCAGAGAGACCTGGAAAAAGCTGTAGAAGCAGTTCTATTGCTAGAAAGGTGGTCAGTGGATGGTGGGGGAGGGAGGGGTTGGTTTGCAAATCACGAAGGGACATAACCCTGTAATGAGTATTCATTTTACTTCTGAGACTAGAGACTTTTCAACAACCAATCAGGTCCCTGGAGACTGGGAAGGACCCAGAGATGGGCAGAGACCTGCTCAAGGTCACACGACTTGGAGCACCTGTCTTAAGAAGATAGAGGCTGAGGGAACTCTGCTGTATTTTTCCAAAAGGAGCAAATGGCAGTGACCAGAGATGCCTGACATCCTACTTGGGGACCTGGACTCCCAGATTATTTCCTGCCCTGCCCTGGCGATGAAAACAGTATCCAGAAGGCAATAAGAAACCACACAC